CATGAATGGATAATAATAAACTATAAGATGAGAAAAATATGTACATGTATTAGTATCCTTTTCTTATTAGGATATTTGACAAAAGAGAATTTATCAAGATCAACTATGACACAGAACTGTTTGCCTTCAAGAACAGACTTTCTCTTGCAAATATGGATGATAGCAGTCTGAAGATTGCATTGACACATGAGTCTTATAATAACCAAGAAAGTGAAAACAACTCAAAACTAGCTTTAATAGGTAAAGTATTGTAGAATCTATTAATTTATTATGATATTTTGTACAGTTAAATGTAAATRGAATATTGAGTTGGTATAAGTATTTTACATGTAAATTTACCATTCCTCATCTGATAGGTTATAATCTTGTTGGACATTACATCACAGAATATTTTTGTTTTAAGCATCCTTCTTTCCCATCTGAGGGACTGAGGTAGGGTTTCCATTATGTATTTATTGATACAATTCGTGTTTTTCAGTATGTGGTTCCTTCTTTTTTGCCTCAATCTATTTATATGCCAATTATGAAATGGCACGCAACTTTAAAGATGCTGTTCTCATCAAAACTTGATCTGATGCCAGCATCATATTAGGTCCTCATTTTGTTGTTGTTGTTGATCAATCTTAAAATTTCCCTTCCCTTGGAGTAAATGTAATAACTCTTCACTATCTTAGGTTTTTTGGTTTATCAATATCTATCCTTGTCTTTCATCATTCATTCAGTTGTTTGCTAATCTACTCTTCCAGTATTTTTATTATTGTTTTACGCTGTTTTTTATAGGTGTCTTTTAGACTTTCTAACATGCAGAGAAACCATAGTCAAACTTGCTGAATCATTCGCTTTACCTGAACTTATCAGAACAGAGGTAAATGTTGAATGCAAAAAGCATTTTATGAATGATTAGCCTGCATAGAGACTCTCAGGGGGTTGACGATAGGCAGACTGAGAACAGTCCTCCAAGGGATGCTTTGCAGGCTAAGTGTTATATCATTGACACAAGTTTCTCTTCCACAGTATGATCTTGATAATTTAGATCAAGAAAAACATCTAGGTTATTCAAGAGATGACATTGTTTCAGATGCATTTTATGCTCTCATTGGTGCTATCTACAAGGATCAGGTAGGATTTTACAAGCGCAGCTCTAGGWTTGGATGATTTGCCTCTGTTACAAAGCAGCCAGTCTGAGCATTAGATGACATTGTTTTATGCCTGTTCTATCTCAGGGATCCCAGGAGGCTAACATGTTTATCAGAGACTTTGTGTTAACACATCTTCAAGGGGAAGATCTTCACAGTCTCCTGAAGTTCAAAGACCCTGAAAAGTTATTGAATGAAATTCTATTATCAGAAGGGAAGCCTAAGTCAGAACCAAGGTACTAGCACTACAGTACTAGTAGTCATTGTAGAATATCAGTTCATACATGTACACAATAAACGTATAGGTTTGAGTCTCAGTATCAAATGGAATTGTCAAAAGGGGAGGATGTTTGGCACGGCAGTGTTGTGTATCATAATGCAGTACTGCCTGGAATCACATGTACACGTAGGAACAAAGTAAGAATAACCTGCAATATCATAAAAGGTACATGTGATTCCAGGTAACCTTAGAATTATATCATATCTGAAATAATTATTTCTTTTTTAAGAATCATAAGAGAGAGTGGCAAGAAGACCAATATTCCTGTCTTTGTTGTTGGGGTTTTCTGTGCTGATGTCATGCTTGGTGAAGGTATAGTTTATTTACAGAAATTATCAAATTAATTCCTACCATTATCCCTGAATGAAGTTAGTAGGTCAGAAAGATTTCAATTTAATTCTTCCAAACTTCCAAGCCAGTTTGATCTTCGTCAATAGTCTAAACTGGCATCAAAAGATGATATAAAACTATTACTATAGTACCGAAAAATGAATATTTAATAGTTGCCACATTATTGCTAAATTCTGATTTGTTTTGTTTTGATTTGATTTGTTTATATTTTAGCTGCAAGCTACAACATTACGAAAGCCAAACGCGAAGTGAGTATTTTCAGTCTATCGGGGTTTTGAAGTAATATTGAAACGTTAACCAATCACGTTAAAGATGTAGACTTGGGCTGTGTAAATGATTTTCAATGTTTGAACTCTATGGTCCTTGGGTGTTTTTWAAAAAAAGCCTGAAAGAACACTGGATACATTTATAATTTTCTCTCGTKTTAATCAAAACAAGAGACTTATGTGAGATAACAAAGAATGGGAAAAAGAGGAACGATGGAGAGATAAAGTCGTTTATTCTGATTTGCATTCTAAAAAAATATAAACATGCACTCTTGATCACAGAAAAAAACGCACAGTGTACCAATCCATTCAACTTATTCTTTTTTAGGCAACACTCGCAGCTTTGATGAAGCTCATCCARCGTGACACCAAACATCAACCCTCGTTACCGTCACACAATGTCACGCTACAAAGCCTTTCATGATTATTAATTGATTAAATGATCGCTTTTATGAAAGCGAGATCTTAACTATTTTTTAGTACTTTTAAATCTTGGTTGCCAATAGACAATAGTCCTTGTTGGTTTTGTCTTGTCAAGTCTACAATATTTTCACGTTAATTTAAAGGWGCTGTGCGTTATTGGGTTGGTCGACCAGTTAAGCCAGCCTACCTTTGCCATTGATATGGAGCGATAAGTTTTCGAATAAGAAAATGATATTTTACAATTTTTGCAGAAATTTGTTTGATTGAGAAAATTGGTACTATTCTTGAGTTGGCGAGTTTGTAACAGCAAAGACACCTTGGACGCATCAAAGATAGGGCCTGCTTGTTTGCCACAAGCTGTTATTGTAATCGGTGCAAGTCGCTCGTTCTCTAATGTTTCATTCTTTTCTATCTCCCTTGTAAGAAGTTAATGGTTTAATCACATATTGATATAAACTGAATTGGTGTAAATTACAAAAGACATATTGGACTAGATCGGGCAAAAATTTGACGTGCTTTCCCTCGTTTTTTTTTCTGTTTTTTGTTTTTGTTTTTTTTTGTTTTTGTTTTTTTAGGAAGGGTGTAACGTTACGCATTTACTGCTGATTGCCTTTATTCTTTCACACTCTCATTCAAGCCATCATTCCTTAATAAATAACGGGTATCACCCTTTAATTAATATCGCCTTACCCTGTTTGCCTAACCAATACATCGTGGGGAAGATTTAGACGTAAGATTTAGATATAACAAAAGTGAACGGGTTCTCAAGTTAAGCATCAATATTAACCTTCCTTAAAAAGGCGATCATATTTTAAAGTGATTTTTGTAAAAAAAATGAGCGAATCTCGACCTGTACCTGTTGTTAGAGTACCAAAATGTCGGGTCAGATACTTGACAGGTTGGTTTTGCGTCATATATTCAAGGTTCAATYTATCAACCATTCAGTAGCTGTCAGTCCCATTTACCTAGTATTCCGCTCAGGACGACCTTTCTCYTACTTCCCCTTAAACAGCTTTWAAAATGATTTTCCAAGAACTCTTAGTTCTTTTCTTAATGTTGTCGTATTCAAACGCAAAGGAACATTCCAAGCAAAACGAAGATGTCCAATCGAGAAAGCAAGTTGTTGTTGTACCAAAACAGTCCAGGCATTCCCCAGGTAAGACAGCACTTCACAAAATGTGAAAAGAGCACTTCAACAAGGATGAGATCTCGAAACTTGTAGTGGACATCCTCGACTCTTCTTCGTGTATCTCGGGACCTATTTTTTTATTATTAACACCTAAAATACTAACATCATCCCACCCACATTTCATTTTGCGTTCGGGTACATGTAGCTGATTGTAAGTTCATCTAACTTAATCTTTCGTTTCGTTATATTTAGCCTTTTAAGATCAATAAGGATCTAGTTATTTATATGAAAAATGCAAAACAAAAGCTCATATAGAATTAGTATTTTAATGCAAAAAATGTCAGCGCTCTTTAGAGGACTACAGTGATTCTTTTCCAATTGAAACAAAAATAGGAAAATAAAAATAGAAAATCGTACGGTGATAAATCTGCAATTTCGCTGTTTAAGTGATCGAATTGTTATTGTTGTGCAA